GGGGGGGGGGGGTGCGCACCCCCTGCACCCTCCCCCTAGATCCGCCCCTGTATCTCTTGAGGTTGGACCCATTCTTATCCTCGGATTCATATCATGCTCCCACGATCACACTCTGTCATATTTTCTTGGCCCATATTTCACTTAAGCAAGAATGCAAGAGGTTTTCGCTTTAAAGGTATTCTTTTGAACTTCCCGTATGAGGATGCCATAAGGACGAACATCATTTTCGTGACTACATGGTGAAAGCCAATAATCAGCTCCTTGCCTTGTTTTTGAAGCAGGGACAATTTCGAGACGACCATTTTTCTGATCTGGGTTGACACGATTCTGTAACGCGATCTTGTAGGTTTTTCCGTCATGAGTAAATTCTTGAGCATAAAGCCTTTCAACCATTTCCAGACTAGGGCTAGTGTAAATGCCTTTGCCAAACTTCATTCGGGGCCCAGGTTTATAACCTTGCTTTGATATCAGCTTAGCGTTCTTTGAATTCGTTCCGTGGTACGAAACAGGCCATTCGGCAGGGTCTGCTCTCGTGCGTATCCCGTCAGGACCAAGCCATGCGTCATTTTCATATTTGCCAAGAACTTTCACCGCAAGCCTGTTCCAGCCATACGGACGCTTGTACTCGAATCCTCCTCTCATATACTTTTTACCATCGTTTTTGACTTTCCTAAAGTCATAGTGGAAGGTGGGATCGAGATCACTTGTGTTAAACACGTAAGTCAACGAAGGTCCACCGTGAGGTAAGCGAGGTACCAAAAAAAGGGCTTCTTCGGGTCGGATTTCATAATCACTCACAGTTCGAGTATCGTCAAGTACTTCACCTGAGTATACCAGAATCATTTCTTCCTTCTTCGTTCCTTCGATTCTTTCTATTTCAGCCTTGGCCTCTTGGATAATGTGGTTCCCTGATACGCGAATGCTTTGTGTTTTGCCAGAAACACGACGTACATACAAATCGAACATTTCGCTCGGTCCAGCCGTCAACATCAATAAATTTGTTGGTCTCATAATGTGAGTTTGACTGAACAAGTCTTCTACATTTAAGTTACAATAGAGACGAGAATTCTCCTCATACCGATCCTCAGACCTTGCCGCATTACGTAATACAACATCTGCACCAAGTACTGTTGATAGTCCAGAAGTCAATACATGTAGATCAGCCTCCATTTTCAGTCGTTACTTCGACAGACCAAGGCGACAGGGAGGAATTTCTTTCACCAATTGTTCCTTTCTTAGTGGACTATTCATCCACGTCACCGGCGCTGAGACAAATACAGATCTTAATTCAAGTGACTAACATTCCGACAATCATATGCTTTTGATTCCTACTGAAAAACTTAAAAATGGGCGTGATTCTTTCCGGAAAGCACGTGAAGCCCACCTTATCCATAAAGCTATGACAATTGAGCCTCTGGGCATCAATAAACGTGATGAACTGTAACTCTATATAGTATATCTTTTATTTTTTTTTGTTATTTTGTCTTTTTAAGTAGCCACACCATACCACGTCATATTGTCTAACTTCCTGACTTATTTTACTTCTTATATATTTCTGTAAATTCGTGATATCTCAATAAACCTGATGAAGACTGGTATTGGCCAGACGAAATATCGCAACTTAACTCTATTTCACGTTGTTTGATCAGTCTCTGCTAAAGTCTTCTTGACTGTAACGTTTTCAATTTTATCTATTTTGACTGATCACGATCTTTTTGGATCCGACGTTGAGCAAGATTGTTCGTACACGGTTTTTGCAGTGGTTTTTTACCTTAACTAAACATTCCAAACCATATATAGCAGTATAAACCCAATTATAAACCCTAGTATAAAATTTAGGTGATGAAAACGGGAAATAACCCCTGTCACAAAACCATCACTCACTGGGTGGTACCAAATTTCTAATCTTTGCCATATTTTCGGTTTAGTCGATTTCAGACCATTTCACGATCGGCACTGAAAAAGGTTCCCGCAAAAACATTTTTCCGCTAACATAAGTGCAACAACTAAAAAAAAATAACGGTATTTTCTTCCTGATGTTGTTTTAACTGAGAATGAAAAAAATTAAGCAAGGCAGGTTTTCAATTGCGTTAAAATCAAGAAAATAAATTAAGAAACTAAAAGTAAAAACTGTATATTTTCCGTGTTGGGAAATTCTCTTTCCCTTTTTTGCATAATTCAGCGGACCAGATTATATCTCGGAGCCTGGGACACACCATTATAGCTTGATACGTATACTACATGTATCCCGCATCAAATGTCCTTGACAATTTCTTTTCTCTGATTGGTCGAAACAATGTCAAACACTACCGAATTCTTTTCGGCAACACAACTGCGTCCAAGATGGATTCTATTCACGAGAGTTTTGAGTACCTAGACAACGGCGAAGATCTTTCCTTTAACAGGAGCCATAGTAGTATGGTAAATGGCTATTCGGACCACAAGCCTGATTTTGATGACGCGAATGAAATAAGACAAAACTTGAGATCCGCAATGAAAGGAGCTCGACAGCGTATTGCAAATCTTCGATTGGACCTGGAAGAAAAGTGTGTGAGCTGTAATTATTATGCTTGTAATTGCTTTACGTTTTTAGTGCCATATGTAATATAATTCTTGAGCGTTTGTAGTATTAAGCTGAGTATCTCGAGTGTATAAATTCCTAAGCTCTTGTTTTCAAGGGATTGTTTGTTTCGATATGATACGTGAACCAGAGAGAATCTTAGCAAATATTGCTCGATAGCAACCGAGCGCTAAGACGACGCCGATTATAAGCTTGCGCTTACTGATGTCAATTTATTGAATACGTATCAAATACGTAAATCTGTACAAATGAATTTAAATGGCTACTTCCAGTGTTGTCAAAGAAGAGATCAAAGCCTAAAAACTGGCTGTGTTTGGTGCCGAATGTGTCAGGTACTACGTACAAGTCTTCAAATGCCCACAGTCAAGCAATCACTGAGTACACACCGTGATATGAAAAGTATTTAAGCATCACTTTTAAGTGAAGTTTTACTTAACTTTTTACAGTACTATGTACAGGAACTTGAACTGACTTCCATTTTTAAATACTTTTTGGTGTTCGTGCTGTTTCTAAAGTTTTACAAACCACCTGCTTTTTATGTTTTATTTTGAACAATAAAACAAACACAAAGAAATGATATTTTTGCTGGTGGTCTATTTATTTTTTGTGTATCGATAATTGGCTTTCAGCTGTAAAGAACAATATGTTATTTTTCTTTGAGTATCACTATAATTTTGTTAAAGTGACTAAACTGAAAATTGATATTTCTCAATATATTAAAAAAATTACTCATGCATAAACCATAAAAATATATTATGCCGGTTGAAAGCATGAGTGGGCTTTTCTAAAACTTGTCACTTTAATCTGAGTATCTTTTTTGGCAAGATGGAAATTACATTATTTAAATATAAGTACATTTGCACATGTGGTTTTGTTTGTTAACCTGGCAGCATTCAGTTATTTCCTTTTATAGTAATTATTTCACTTCTGAATGTAAATTATTGTACTGTTACAATTTTTATTTGATTTCCCAACCTAGACATGAACTTTATAAAGCTAATGTTTTATATTTGTGAATTTAATTAACCACTCTTGAATCTGCACAGTTGGTCAGCTGATATTTGGAGTGCAAAATGTAAGAAAANTAAAACAAACACAAAGAAATGATATTTTTGCTGGTGGTCTATTTATTTTTTGTGTATCGATAATTGGCTTTCAGCTGTAAAGAACAATATGTTATTTTTCTTTGAGTATCACTATAATTTTGTTAAAGTGACTAAACTGAAAATTGATATTTCTCAATATATTAAAAAAATTACTCATGCATAAACCATAAAAATATATTATGCCGGTTGAAAGCATGAGTGGGCTTTTCTAAAACTTGTCACTTTAATCTGAGTATCTTTTTTGGCAAGATGGAAATTACATTATTTAAATATAAGTACATTTGCACATGTGGTTTTGTTTGTTAACCTGGCAGCATTCAGTTATTTCCTTTTATAGTAATTATTTCGCTTCTGAATGTAAATTATTGTACTGTTACAATTTTTATTTGATTTCCCAACCTAGACATGAACTTTATAAAGCTAATGTTTTATATTTGTGAATTTAATTAACCACTCTTGAATCTGCACAGTTGGTCAGCTGATATTTGGAGTGCAAAATGTAAGAAAAGAATGCCCAACCCCCCCCCCACCCCACCCACCTTTCCTTCTCTACTACTACTTCTCATTTATACTTCAATGTTAGATATCTCTGCCAGCAGGGAAAGAGAACCACAAATGTTACAAGTAAGCTTGGCATAGTGAGAGAAAAATAGGAGGAAGGAAATACATTCCTTATCTTGCTCCTTTCTGTAATTTGTTTTTCACCATAAGAGATCTCTGTTAGCAGGGAAAAGGAGCAACAAATGCCACTTAGCTACTGTTTTTTTTAAATAATTCTTTCATGTTGTGAATTATCTCCAGAGATAAACTTCTGAGTGCAGAGAAATCTTTGAGGCAAAATCTTGAGGCAGAGTTAGCAGAAAAAACTGAGCAGTTGTACAAGGAAAGAGTGTCAAGTATGCATGGAGATAATGGAAGATATTCACCAAACCCAATGTTAAGCAGTTTTGGAAGTGATACCTCATTCAGAGAAGAACTCTCAGCAGCACAACATTTAAACCTTCAGGTAAAATTCCTTGAATATTGTTGCTTTTCATATGAGAGCTTTCCTTACAGTTTTTATATAATTTTTCCCTTTTTCTTACATAATTTCACCATTCGTGTTAAAAACTGTCACTGTGTGGAACATGTCCAAGGTGGCTTAATGCTAAGTCATGACTGACACCCAGGGTCTGGTTAAGTGCCAGCAACCGGCTGCAAAACTTGCTACTTTAAGGTTTGAGTCGTCCATTTTATTCAGAAAAAGCTGGTAAAGCAAGGCAGTGAAAGCCTCAAATTTCCTAAAGTACTTGATTGCCAAGCCACCTATTTTACATCCTAGTTGTGTACTTTAATGTAACAACAATCCAGGACACCAGAATTATTTTTGGCACTAGTAACATTCCAGAAGTAATTTATTTGTTGGTTTTTAATTTAAACGTAGTGCTATTGAAAATGAACAGTACAGTAAACTCTCACCTTGTGGACACTCTGCTATAACAGACACCCTGATAATAAGGATGGCAGTTACATTCCAGCCAAACATAAATACAGGCATTTGAATGAAGTAAACTCCCGCTATTACAGACTCTTGTTAATGAGGACACTAACTCGAGGTCCTAATGGTAGTGTTCACAATAAAGGGATTTGACTGTACTTGTTAGTTTTAACACAGGCAGCCCAAGCGCACTATTTGTGGGTGCGGGCTTCAGAGGTCATTTGGTCGGAATATACTAGAATTATTAGTGTATTATCTGATGCCAAATAAATGCAAAAAGTCTTAAAGATATGAAGTCTTCTTGTTTGTCTTTCTGTACTAGTAGCCTTTAAGATGACGAAAATCGATATTTCTTGCATTATTACATGTGATTCGGGCCCTTATTGTTCGAATTTTATCACATGTATTCGAATCTACAACGCTAAGAAAAAAAAATCATGATCACGCAAAATATTGATTCAAAAAGCTCCCTTACCTTTAGTTCATAGCCACTCTGTGTCCTACGGTCAGTTTAAACGCCGTTTAGTCGACTTTCTTTCCATCGAATACTGAACACTATAAAAGAAGGGAAAGCTGGAGACCTTCCAACCGACCCTCGCCGCTCGAGGGCCAATAAATTCCAAACAAAGCGACCGATCTCCCTAAAATTGCCACCAGCCAGACCGAAGAGTGTATACCTACCCGTTCGACGAGCGCCAGGTTCTAAATTCGGCTGCATGAGCTCAAGGAGCGCTGCATTTCGCATTTCGCATTTCGCACACTAATAATTCTAGTATATTCCAACCAAGTGACCTCTGAAGCCCGAACCCACAAATAGTGCGCTTGGGCTGCCTGTGGTTTTAATTGACAGACTGAAAGCTGTACAAAGCGTTACCCTTTCAATGTTATTATTTGCAGCTAACAGATAAGCTTACCAAAGCAGAAGCAGAAATTCAAGCATCTAAGATGAGTCGAGATGACTTGTTAGCTCAAACAGAGTCTCAAATAGCTGCTCGAGGAGCAGGTAGAAATTGATTTTAATTCTTGTCAAATCAGTAGAGTTCAGCTCATGTGTAATCTAATTTTTGTATATATTATTAATGGTTAGAACTCTTGCACCACTTTGGCACCATGTCAGGTAAGCTACATACACATGTAGTGATATCCTTCAGGCAGGCTAGAGTTTTTTTTTCAGTTTTCATGAATAACGTGTCATGGCTAGTACAGTTTGAAAGGAATCATGTTCAAGGACATGTTAAGTGGTCTTGCCAAAGCAACTACAGACTCCTGTTGCTTCAAAACTTCAAGGGAAATAGAAAAAAGTTCAAGTCATCTGGAGTTTGAGTTATCGAGAGTAAAATTATATAGAAAATTATCTCAAGGGAAATGAAAATTGCTTCAAGTTAGCGGGAGTTCGAGTTACAGAGGGTTAGAGTTACTGGGAGTCGACTGTATAGCGTTAAATGGATGCTATCTGGTACCTCGCACCAGTTATCAAAAAGTTGGCTCAAGTAAAATAGTATTGCTAACAGCCTCTGACAAAACTACTGTGATAATCTAAGTAAATCGCTTTTAATTTACACTGATGGAACACTGATGTTTATGTTTTGATCAATTTTTTCAGCTCTTGTTGAAAAAATCTACCAGGCTCAAAAAGAACGTGATGCAGCAATGAATGCAAGACTGAAGATGGCTTACAGTGAGCGTGAGGAATTATTGGATAAACTAAGAAGAACTGAAAGAGAACATACAGGGTATGAAAATATGCTTTCATTTTTCCTTCTTGTTTTGCCATGTAGGAGGCCCTTGCAATACTTCTAGGTACCCCATGCTGAACTTGGATAAGCTCCTGCCAGCTGTATTGGCCCTATAGAGTACCGAAGTGTGACGTCATAGAAAATGAAATTTGTGAAATTATGGGATTTGTTAAGATATTCTGAAAGAACAACGTCCAAGACGCCTACTCGCCAAAAATTAGCAATTTGGGGCAGATTGTCTCTGAGATATTAGCCCAGTTATGCTCCGATGACTCCATTCAAATCCTTCTAAATCTTACCTGGTTCCTAATCTTATGAACCGAGCCAAATTTAGAAGGATTTGTATGGAATCATTAGACAGCATCACTGGGCTAATATCTCAGAGACAATTTGCCCCCGAATTGCTAATTTTTAGCGAGAAGGCGTCTTGGACGTTGGTCTTTCAGAATATTTTAACAAATCCCATAATTTCACAAATTTCATTTTTATGACGTCATCACTTCGGTACTCTATTCAACACCGTTACTAAGGGTGTTTTCCTAAAGTCAGAACTGACCAGCTGGAGGGGTCATATTTGAAAATGAAATGTTAACTTTTTCTTAAAATCTTCACTTAAACCTACCGCAGCCAACCATTGAACTGGCTGGATAGTTGTGATTAAAAGTGGAATTCTCTTTCAACTGAACTGGTCTGGTTGGCCAGTTCTACCTAGTGGAGAGAGCCTGAGCCCTAAGATTTCAGGAGTAAGGTATATGCAATTAGTAGGTGGGGGATTGAACTGCTAGAAAGTTCTTTTGGTCATATTGTCATGTTCGATTTTGATGAGAGTTGCAGAGGGTCACACTTGTAGTAGCCAGGGAAAATACCCAGCCCACAGGCCTAAGTCAGAGCCCTGCTCATTGATCCAAATCACACCATTACCTTTTTTTCTATGCTAACTAGTATTTTTAAGTTATTAAGAAGGTCAGCCTATGCCTCACATTCACTCAAAAATTAGTACTAAGTCCACTTTTGTAAAATGGTCTATTCGATCTACAGCAATGGCTATTACAATACTGACACCTAGATCTGTGGCTTTGTTAATATTGTTTTGTTTCATTCTTGTTATACAGTTTTGATTCTGGTGTTGATAGTGTCTATGATGAAGAAGAATCCGAACCAGTAAGTGTTCTTAACCATTTAAGCCCTAAGAGTGATCAACGTCAAATTTCTCCTTGTAATATCAATGCTTTGTAAAACAGATTGGTCATGAGAATAAAGGACATGATCACATAATACGAATTTGCTTGATATTTTATCAACTTCTCCCCACTACCTCTGTAGGAAATGAATAGGGGCAACAAATGAGAATTCAAATTTTGATGTTAGGGTTTAAAGGGTTAATCTTCCCTTACTTTGTACTAACAAAGAAAGCTTCAAGCTATAGTTGTACATTATTCTGAATATTAAAACATTAAAATAAAATTGTATTTATATTTTTTCAACAGACCATGAGATCTTTACTTGGTAGAATAGCCTCTTCTGAAACTCCTGAATCAATTGACAAACATGGTAATTTAATGGCTTACAAGATAAGGACAGTACAGAAAAACAGAAAGAAAATGGTGACGGAAGAACTTAAAGCTGTTATCGCTGAAAGAGATGCGGCTGTGGAAAAGGTCAATTCTCAGATTGCTTGATTTTAACCTTTTAAGTCCCAATAGTGACCAACAACAAGTTTCTCCTAACAATATCCATACATTGTCAAGAGATAAAGTTATGAGAATTAATAAAATGATCGTAATAGAGAAAATTCCATGACCTTTTATCAAATTCTCTTAACTAATTCTTAAAGGAGATGTATGGAGATCAGTTTGGAGAATTTGTACGAGGATATCGGGGCTTAAAGGGTTAACAGTCTGTTGAAGGTTCTAATTAATAGAGCCAAAGTATGAGTTTGTTGTACTTCACAAGAAGTTCTAGTTCTTTTGCTTAACTCTCATTGTGTTGCTGTGAGATTTAACTGCGCTGAGTTCTGCTTGGGCGGGCTAAACAAATACTTTGTATGCTTACACTGTAAGATCATGTTCACTGAAGTAATTCCGTATCTTTTTTCATTTTGCAGTCAAAGGCACTGGAAGCAGAGGTCATCAATCTCCGGAAAGAAATTGAAATAATGAAAAACCAGCACAAGTTAATTGATAGACAAAGGCTTAAGGCCATTCAGGTAAAGTATACACTGCCAGATCACACCATATCTTCAGGAATATCAATTTTCAGGAAAAAACATTCTATGCAGGCTCACAAAGGGAGCTTTTGGGTTTGACAAGCATGGATGTAAAAGAATTTAAATTAACAGACTACCGTTGATGATTGAGGTATACACACTTAATAGATGAGAGTTGAGATTCTTTATCTGAAACGTTTTGTTTATTGGTGGAAATAAAGTGGAGGGCTTTGTCATGTGTTCCTTCCCCATGTTGGGGAGGATTGCATGACAAGCCAAAAGGATATTTGAGTGGGAGGCTATAAAAAAGTTGGCATAATTCAGCGTTTCCAGGTAGACCATAATGCACCATTTATCCCCCAAAATTTTACACAATCATTGTCTTCGATTTCTCTTGCAACAACTATAACACCCAGGAGAATCTGGAAACATTGGTTATGAAAAATTTAGGGGGTCAAANATTTTGCAGTCAAAGGCACTGGAAGCAGAGGTCATCAATCTCCGGAAAGAAATTGAAATAATGAAAAACCAGCACAAGTTAATTGATAGACAAAGGCTTAAGGCCATTCAGGTAAAGTATACACTGCCAGATCACACCATATCTTCAGGAATATCAATTTTCAGGAAAAAACATTCTATGCAGGCTCACAAAGGGAGCTTTTGGGTTTGACAAGCATGGATGTAAAAGAATTTAAATTAACAGACTACCGTTGATGATTGAGGTATACACACTTAATAGATGAGAGTTGAGATTCTTTATCTGAAACGTTTTGTTTATTGGTGGAAATAAAGTGGAGGGCTTTGTCATGTGTTCCTTCCCCATGTTGGGGAGGATTGCATGACAAGCCAAAAGGATATTTGAGTGGGAGGCTATAAAAAAGTTGGCATAATTCAGCGTTTCCAGGTAGACCATAATGCACCATTTATCCCCCAAAATTTTACACAATCATTGTCTTCGATTTCTCTTGCAACAACTATAACACCCAGGAGAATCTGGAAACATTGGTTATGAAAAATTTAGGGGGTCAAACAAGGTGCATTGTGGTCTATGTAAAAATGTGAATTGGAAGTATGACGTAGCAAGCGACGTAAGGTTTGCAGTTCAATGCCTGCTGGTGGTATAGAACTGGGTTGCAGTGACGTTACAGGCAGTATTTGTCATTTTCAGACTTCAGTCAGTTTGCAGGGTGTTTCACAGGACTTAAGATTTGTAAATCCATTTTTTACTCTTTGTAACAGAATCAGTCGGCCCAGGCAATCCAAGAGAGAGATTTAGCCTTAAAGAAGAGCAAAAGACTTGAAGAAGAAATTGAAACTATCAGAGTTTATTACAGGTTAGGAACTCCTCACAAATTTGTTGTGACTTGTAAAACCTTTTGTCAGTGCTGACTGAAATAAGAACGTTAAAGGCAAACGGCTGCTTGCAAGTTACCTCACTGTTCTATATTTTCAAAAACTCTACCAAGTTTTTTCAAGTGAAACGAGAACGAGGTCTCTTCGATGACTAAAATTTCTTTGTTACTTTACTTTTTACTACTTTAGTTTCTTTTTTTTTTTAATCATGAATTATTTTACAGTCTACACGGATCCCTAACGCAAGAACAATCTCTTCGCGACCAATTCAACCAAACCATGGATAACTTTGAAAGTCGATTAAGAGCCCGTGATGTAGACATCCAGCAAGCACAGCGGAGTTATGATGAAGTGGTTGCGAAACTTAAGTCAGTGTCACAGGAAAGAAACACGCTCGCTAAACAACTGGAGGAGTCTTCTAAAAACAGACAACGGGAGAAAGACAGAGCTGACAAGTAAGTTCAAGACAACTTAGTAGCACGGCAATGAAGTTGAGCTACAATCTTAAACAAGATTGATGGAACATTTCGACCCCTCCCCCTTCCCTCCCCCTTTCCCCTTCTCTACCCCTTCCCCCCTCTCCCCTAGGTCAAGGATAAGATTATTGGGCGTTTTGGCCTTTGAGCGGCTTTATCCTTGATTTAGGGGAGATGGGGAGTGTGCTGTAGCATTTTTGCTGCCCAAAATTGTAGTGCGCAGTTGTTCTTTGTGTCGTCACGCAACGCAAGGAGCATGGTTTCTTGATGAAAATAAGGTTTGGCTCCGTGTGAGACTACCGTTAAGTTTACAATCTGATCGCCCTCATTCTCTCCTACTTGCCCTTTTTCTTACTCTCAAATATTAAGAACGGCGCAAGGAAGAGAACACATAAAACAAAATGGCGAGGAAACTGTCCCGTCTTCCCCCTTTTCTCAACCCCCTCTCTTTTCCGTTACTCTGTAATTTTGCGCACAGGTTGCTTGTACTTCCTAATTTACAGGCTGAAATATTGTTTACGAGGTTAGTCAGTCATTGAAACCTACCATGTACATTTTTTAATTTCCATCTATCCTCCAGCGTTAAGGGTGCCCATTTTGTCCAACCTCGGTTATATTTCTCCCCCAAAAAACTAAATTTACTCGCGCGTTACTATATTTGCTTTTTTATTTGCTTTATTTTTGTAGGTTAGAAAGATTGGTCGGAGTTCTGCGCAAACGCATTTTAGACTCGGGAGGAACAAGCGTAGCAACTATCAACTAGAGGGAGGAGTGGGGATAGGGCGAAGGAGTAATATTAGAGAGGTGGGGTGAGGAACGGTGGACCATTAATAGGTGTATCTTAAGTATCCCAGGAGCTTCGGGAAAAGGTTGCGATCAATGGACGCCTGATTATTAGATGAAAGGGGGGTACAACTAGGTTCCCTTGCAAAGAGATTAGATTATTTATGTCTTCGGAAAGTGCCACCAAAGGGGAAGGAGTGAATCGTTTGTGTCACTAGGGGGGAGTGGTGAGTCAGTAGTCTCTCTTCTCGGGACAGAGTATTAGTGTATATATTATACATGTGAGATTATAGCACGAAAAATGAGCTTGTATTTTACTCATTTGTACTGAGAGAATGAATATGAGACAAAAAAATAATCCTTTTGGATCAGTTGTCTGAAAAATAACCAAGAAACTATGTCACTCTGTCAAGAAATATTTTATTTGCGGCTTAATCAAAGCTGTTTGTGTTTTGTTCAATTACTGCTCATTAACCCGTTTTGGTGTCTTATTTGTTTCATTTTTTGCCGGAGTAAAGGAGATATCAACAAAAGTACAAAATTTTCTCCATCTTCAAATAATAAGCAAATGGCAACTGTAACTTGTCAGTGACCAATGACATTGGTTATGTAAGTTAATTTTATTTTAAATAAAACCACCCATAAAGGGCTTTTTCTTTGATTATAAAGAAGTGGAGAAGTGTCTTAGTTTCCAGGATATTGAAGAGTAGGTATAAGTATTTACAGTTAGGGTGATTTTGTACTCTTCCACGGATTACACTTGATACATTTGAAAACATGGTAGCTGGAGATGGTCGCTCGTTATAGAAAGCGCTCGATTTCGACGATCTTACAGAAAAATAACACGCTAAACAGTTTAGAATGGGTATAACTAAATGAATCAAAGGTTATCTTTTCTCGTGAATGTTGATTTTTTTTTATGAGAATAACTGTGAAAGACATTACTCTCAATAAACACGAACTCAAACGGAAGGACCTTGAATTTAATCGTAAAATCCTGTTATATTAATTTCCCAAGATTAATTGAGTTAACAGCTTTCTAACTTTTGAGTCTGGACAAAACTCTGTCTTGTGATGTAGCCAGTCAAATAAAACCTCCAGAAGCTTTTTAACATAACATAACTTTATTATTTATATAGCGCAAAATACATGGGTATATGATCTAATGCGCTTTACATTACAATGCTTACAATATAACAGTGAAATGGATAAAAAATTTTCTGGCCACTTTTGAAATTAGAGTTTCATGCTGGGTGATACTCAATTGCCATCCAGATGCAGTCGGTGTCACTATAGTACTGATGCCAGCCATAAAAGAGGTCGCCATTTTTCTTGACCCCAGTAAACGGATCGTGAGTAAACCCAGGAGCCATCATCACCTCTTCGTACAGACTTTTGAAATCATTCTTGTGAAATTTCTGCATCCTTCCTGTTCCGTACACCTGAGTGTGTACCTCCAGCATCTCTGGGTCTGTGTGGTGATTATGAATTCCGCAGTGGGTCTTAGCAGGGCTAAACCAGACGTTTACCTTGATGTTGTACTTTGTAACACCACATTCTTGGCTGGGTTTCTTTGTTCCAGTCACTATGCAGGGATCAAATTCCACTGTTCCCACTTCAAATTGAGGGGATTTGTACAGCGGTACATCACGTGGGTAAGTCGAGTCCTGGGCTGACAGCTGGTACCATCCTTCATCAAGGATGACGCCACCAAGATTGTCTTCGTCCGGGAGCTTAATCAGGACAAGAGACTCTCCACTGACGATCTTCACACCTTAGTAAAACAATGTTACAATTAAACAGTTCAAGTCGTGTTGGTTATAAAATGGACGCGGTCCGTCTAACAACAAGCGTGAACAAGAGTGGATTAATCAACTGCTCCCGGTGTGAACGCGCCTTATAATACAGATATGTTACAGAGTTCCCTTCTAGTGTAAATACATGGCGAAACTGGCACAGAAACAAACCAGAACCTCTACCAAGGAAGGGAGAATGGAAGGGATAAAGGACTCAACTCTTTAATACTCTTTTGCCCCTCGTTGTTTCTTTGTTGAGCCTTTAAAACGGTGGAAGAGAAGGCGAAACGAAGCACGGCATTTTTTTTCCGTTTTATTGCGAGATGATTGGTTGGAGCTCATGCAAATGACATAGCAGGTTAATCAAACAAATATTGGTTTTGTGTTGTGACCTTGGTTATCTTCTGTGAACCTGAGTTTTCAATGAGTGGCCCACAAATTGCACTGCGAAAGGTCTTGAACCGTTGTATATAATAGTTTATTTTTTTTCTATAGTTTTTACTAGTTCTCGGAGATACAGCTCCTTCGATGGACGTTTTAGGACGCTCACGCGACGACAACGCATAGCAATAAGTGTAGTTTCACAAAAATGTCACAAATTCATCCATAAATTAAACGACTCTTTTGTCAACTTTTGCGACATTTAATGCCAAGTCATGACCGAATTGCAAGTCGTTTTTTTACAGCTACCCTACCGTCTTAGGACGATTCTTGAGATAGCTGTGTTTCTACTTCTTAGTAAATCCTCTCGGGCTCGGAGGTGGGGGTGGGGGAGATCATGCTAGAACAGACAATCAAATTTAAATTTAACATCACTAAATATGTTGACAAACACTAGAATGTTGTCTTCGACACAGTATGTTTTTTTTTTTTTNCAAAGGATTTACAGCTACCCTACCGTCTTAGGACTATTCTTGAGATAGCTGTGTTTCTACTTCTTAGTAAATCCTCTCGGGCTCGGAGGTGGGGGTGGGGGAGATCATGCTAGAACAGACAATCAAATTTAAATTTAACATCACTAAATATGTTGACAAACACTAGAATGTTGTCTTCGACACAGTATGTTTTTTTTTTTTTAAACCAGATATTTCTTCACGCAACACCCTATTAGCAATACCCGTATGGGTAAAAATATTGGCTTTCCATGCGGAACTAAAATTTACACGCATATCATCCACGTTCCTTTGTCCTCTCATGTTGCTTCCAGCCCGGTGATGAAATGTAATGTATACATGTCACGCAACGGGAAGAAAATTGTCCCTAAGTCAAGAAAAAGAGAGCTTGGGAATCTCTATGTCGAGAGAAAAGAGGGCTTTTCCACGTTAAAATGTTTGTTTCGAGTTCCTCAAAGAATTTACAAACCAAAAAAGCACGATAACAAAAACAAGTACGACACGTATGTAAGGTAAAAAATTTGCATATGGCACGCAAAAACATTGAAAAATATACTAACGTAATATAACCATAGTAAATAAATGTTATAAATTTAAAGGGTAACGGTCTGATGGACATTTTATTACATACAAAAGTAAGGCTCGCAAATTACCTCGAAGAATGGTCGACTTTCTTGGTCGTAAAACCTTGTGCGGTGGCGACCCTGAAATAATTGCCTCCGAGTTGGAAATGTTTACAACGATAGTGGGTTTCTTAACTTCAAAATCTTGAGCGTCCGTGAGCCACTTCGACTTTAGAAACTTGGAAAAATTGAGAGGCTGTTTCGAGTTGGGTGCCATTCCGCCGTTCGTTGCATGTACTTCAATTCACTCAAAAAGACAACTCAAGATATCACGGAGGTGTCAGTATATCACGACCCGAATGCCAAGCCTTCCTTAGTTGGTGAGAGTGAGGAGATATTAATCCCCAGTACCCTAGGGCTGGTATAAGGATGTTAATTTGATTTGACTGTGTTATGAAATCGGGAGTCTTGATTATCAATATCAATAATTAGGAATCAATTCTTTTCAAAGTAGTCTTGCTCATCAGTATTAAAAAATTAGAATTTCATGCTGGGTGATACTCAATTGCCATCCAGATGCAGTCGGTGTTACTATAGTACTGATGCCAGCCATAAAAGAGGTCGCCATTTTTCTTGACCCCAGTAAACGGATCGTGAGTAAACCCAAGAGCCATCATCACCTCTTCGTACAGACTTTTGAAATCATTCTCGGGAAATTTCTGCATCCTTCCTGTTCCATACACCTGAGTGTGTACCTCTAGCATCTCTGGGTCTGTGTGGTGATTATGAATTCCCCCGGGGGGGGAGGCCCGGGTGAATTCCGCAGTGGGTCTTAGCAGGGCTAAACCAGACGTTTGCCTTGATCTTGTACTTTCTAATACCACATTCGTGGCTGGGTTTCTTTGTTCAAGTCACTATGTAGGGATCAAATTCCACTGTTCCCACTTCAAATTAAGGTGATTTGAGCGTCCGTGAGCCACCTCGACTTCAGAAACCTGGAAAATTTGAGGGGCTGTTCCGAGTTGGGTGCCATTCCGCTGTTGATTCCATGCAGTTCAACTCACTCCAAGAGACAACTCAAGATATCCGGGAGGTGTCAATATATCACGATAAACGAGTCCCAAGCCTTCCTAAGCGGGTAAGGGTGAGAAGATTTGAACCCCTAGTAACGTAGGACTGGGGTTAGTTAATTTAGTGCAACTTCGATATAACCCAGGGCCAACGGACTGGCAAAATTAGTTCAACATACCGAGATTACGTTACATCAAAGGAAACACATATCCCTAGTGTATGTGTTTCCCCTACCCAGAAACACATATCCCTAGTTATATGTGTTTCCCCTACCCAGGAACACGTATTCCTAATGATATGTGTTTCCCCAACCAGGAAACACATATCCCTAGTGATATGTGTTTCCCCTACCCGGAAACACATATCCCTAGTGTATGTGTTTCCCCTACCCAGAAACACATATCCCTAGTTATATGTGTTTCCCCTACCCGGGAATGCGTATTCCTAATGATATGTGTTTCCCCACCTGGGAAACACATATCCCTAGTGATATGTGTTTCCCCTACCCAGAAACACATATCTCTAGTGATATGTGTTTCCCCTACCCGGGAATACATACCTCTAGTAATATGTGTTTCCCCTAACCGGAAACACATATCCCTAGTTTATATGTGTTTCCCCTAACTGGGAACACATATCCTTAGTGATAAGTGTTTCCCCACCTGGGAAACACAAATCCCTAGTGATATGTGTTTCCTGTACCCGGAAACACATATCCCTACTCCTAGTGATATGTTTTTCCCCTACCCAGAAACACATATCCCTAGTTATATGTGTTTCCCCTACCCCGCAACACATATCCCTAGTTACATGTGTTTGCCCTACCTAGGAACACATATCCCTAGTAATAGCTGTTTCCCCTACCCGGGAACACATATCCCCAGTGATATGGGTTTCCCCTACCCGGAAACGCATATCCCTAGTAATATGTGTTTTCCCTACCCGGGAACACATATCCCTAGTGATATGTGTTTCCCCTTCCCGTGAACACATATCCCCAGTGGCAATATATGTGTTTCCCTTACCCGAAAAAGCATATCCCTAGTGATATGTGTTCCCCCACCTGGGAAAGACATATTTCTAGTGATAAGTGTTCCCCCACCTTGGAAACACATATCCCTAGAGATATGTGTTCCCCCACCTGGGAAAGACATATCACTAATGAGATGTGTTCCCCCACCTGGGAAACACGTATCCCTAGTGATATGTGTTCCCCCACCTGGGAAACACATATCCCTAGTGATATGTGTTTCCCCACCTGGGAAGCACATATCCCTAGTGATATGTGTTTCTTCACCTTGGAAACACATATCCCTAGTGATATATGTTCCCCTACCTGGGAAACACGTGTCCCTAGTGATATGTGTTCCCCTACCTGGGAAACACATGTCCCTAGTGATATGTGTTCCCCTACCTGGGAAACACATGTCCCTAGTGATATATGTTCCCCTACCTGGGAAACACATGTCCCTAGTGATATATGTTCCCCTACCTGGGAAACACGTGTCCCTAGTGATATGTGTTCCCCTACCTGAGAAACACATATCGCTAGTGATATGTGTTCTCCCATCTGGGAAACACATGTCCCTAGTGATATGTGTTCCCCCACCTGGGAAAGACATATTTCTAGTGATAAGTGTTCCCCAACCTTGAAAACACATATCCCTAATGATATGTGTTTCCCCTACCAGAGAACACATATCCCTAGTGATATGTGTTTCCCCTACCCGGGAACACATATCCCTAGTGATATGTGTTTCCCCTTCCCGTGAACACATATCCCTAGTGACATGTGTTTCCCTTACCCGAAAACACATATCCCTAGTAATATGTGTTCCCCCACCTGGGAAAGACATATTTCTAGTGATAAGTGTTGTCCCACCTGGGAAACACGTATCCCTAGTGATATGTGTTCCCCTACCAGAGAACACATATCCCTAGTGTTATGTGTTTTCCTACCTGGGAAACACATGTCCCTAGTGATATGTGTTCTTCCACCTTGGAAACACATATCCCTAGTGATATGTGTTCCCCTACCTGGGAAACACATATCCCTAGTGTTATGTGTTTTCCTACCTGGGAAACACATGTCCCTAGTGATACGTGTTTCCCCTACCAGGGAACACATATCCCTGGTGATATGTGATTCCCCTATCAGGCAACACATATCTCTAGCAACATGTGTTTCCCTTACTCGAAAACACATATCCCCAGGGATATTTGTTTCCCCTTCCCCTGAACACATATTCCTAGTGATACGTGTTTCCCCACCTCGGAAACACATATCTCTAGTGATATGTGTTTTCTCTACCCTGGAAGACATATGAATAGTGATATGTTTTTCCCCTACCCGGCAATACATATCTCTAGTGACATGTGTTTCCCTTAACTTAAACACATATCCCTAGTGATATGTGTTTCTCCATGTTTTCCCTACCCGGGAACACATATTGTTAGTGATATGTGTTTCCCCACCTGAGAATCACATATCCCGGGTGATATGTGTTTTTCCCTACTCGGGAAGACATATCCCTAGTGGTATGTTTCCCCCTACCAAGGAAAACATTTTCTTTGAACTTTGATTTTGGACTCTAGTATAGTTCTTACGAGTCAGCTTGTACAGGCGATTTGATCGATCCTTCACTCGAGTACGATCAATTCAGGAGAAGAGTTTAATAATTTTTTTCACAGTTGCCTTCCTTGTAAGTTTTGACTTGGACAAAGATCTTAAGAAGAGTCTTTTTTCGTAAGTTAATTCGTCGTTAATTTTGGAAAATATGCAAAAATGCGACTATCTGAAGTGCATATTTTTATAGGCTAGAAACGATTCTTTTTATGTAAAAGATCCCCAAACATTTTTTCAAGCTCATTTTTCCCCAAAAACCGCAAATTAAAAAAATTGAATTTTTTGACCAACATCATGACAATCGTTTTGTTTCTCTGCTTGATTGGTCATTCCAATCATTTTTGTGAACTTTGATTTTGGACTTTAATGTAGTTCTTACGCGTCAGCTTGTGCAGGTCATTTGATGACTTTGATCGATCCTTCACTCAAGTAAGATAAATTCAAGAAAAGAGAACAATTCAAAGTTGTTTCAGTTGCCTTCCTCTCAAGTTTCATTTCGTTTGACTTGGACAAACATCTTGAGAAGAGTCTTTTTTGGTAAGTTGATTCATTTTTCTATTTTTTAATGAATATTTAGATCTTTGGGCCCGTTTCTAGAAAGTCCAGATCATTAACGGGCCTGCAAAGATGTTGTTGATTCCGTGCAAGGTAGAGTTCAATAGCTGGGCATCTAACATGTTGAAACTGTCAGTTAATGAAACAAAATGAAGTAGTTTGCTAGCCAGGACCCACGATGTTATTCTCTACATTTCGATTTGAATATTTGATTTCGGTCCCGAAAAGTTACCTGTACTTTCGAGAAACTGGCCCATGAACATGCTGAGTCGTGGCGATTATGTTAAGATCAACGTACAACCTTTTTGGGATTTTATGAGAGTTTCATAACAGAGAAATAACACCTAACAAAGGACGGTAAATGAAAGGAAATAAGTAAAGATATTGTCTGTGGACAGTCTCGTATTTCTTCACAAATACTGAGGTACACGCCCGACAGAGTGGTCTATCATGTCTTTAAAAAATTAGTTATCTTCATGCGCCAACAGAGACAAGAACAACAACGACGACGGCAGTGAAAATAGCCTTAATTTCATCCGATTGCTTCGAGTCGTTTTATCCTCTCAGCGACGACGTTACTAAGGAGTAATAAGGACTCGAGGTAATTGGATGAAATTCAGGCTACAGTGAAAACGTCTCAACTCACGCTCCATGCAGGCATCGTGTGCTCGCCTAAAAACGCGAAAAATATAAAAAGTAACCGGGAATTAATAAATTGGCAATAGATAACAAATCAACATTATCCAAAATTCTGCTGATCATACCATCATCACGGTCACATCATGGGACTTTAGATTTACCTTAGCCTGTGCTAACAAGCTCTCTATAATTTTATGGCGACGCAAGCGAGTCGCGAGAGAACACGCGAGTGAGCGGCCCTCGCACTCGCGTCTCTTTTCGCGTGCTGCTCTCGCGTGACTTCCCCAAATGGAGAGCTTGCTCGCAGACTAGACTTAACCGTAACTAACCGACTTTGTTTACAGCTGCTTCATAATTGGCTGTGCAAGGTGGTACAATCAATAAGTTAATCAATCAATTAGTCTCGTCATTTAATTTTCTTTAACGGTCACTTAAGATCACTTTTGGAAATAGTATGTTTGAATAGCATACGAAACGTCAGGTTTATAAAAATGCGAAAACTCACAATGTTTATCACCGCTGTTTCAGTGTGTTTTATGTTTGATCAACGGCCCTGTATATATACACTACCAAAAATTTTAGTTGCCTTATGTTTTCTGCAAAGTTGACCTGTATATAGCAATCACCCTGTATTTAACGGTCACTTTGCCATTTCTCTGGGGTGACCGTTGTACAAAGGTTTGACTGTATTACATTTTCGTTCTCTTACAGCAAAATGAGGCTTCTGTTGTTGATTTCTTTCATGTTCTCTGCCTGGCTGTTCTTCCTAGTGACTGCTCGCGGCTTTGCAGTTCACTTTGTTCATCGTCAGGAATTGATTGAGGAAATTGACGGCGTGAGAGATGATCCTGCTATGGATTCAGACGCAAAGAGCAGATTCGGGAACCAGAGCTGTCGTAAAAAGGGAGAGAGTTGTACGTTAATGTTCCAGTGCTGTTCCCTTTGGTGTAATCCCTTGAGATATAAATGCACTTAATATGAAACCTGTAAAAATAAACTTGTTCTTACTGATCTTTAAGGCGTACAAACAGTTTGAGTAATTCAAGACGGGAAACTAAGAGAAAATTATCGCAGCTGTAATAAATTAATGATTAATAAAGGAGAGGTGGAGTGTTTGTATCTTAATAAAACGAAGGAGTCCACCAAACGTTCAGCAGGATTCTAACTCAAAATTGTTTTCTTTTCTTTTATAAGAATGACAGACTCGTTGAATGACACGGGCTCAAAATGCTTGTTGAACATGTCAAAATGCAAAACGGAGTCCGACAGTTGGTCGAAGTGTCGAGGGTCGAGAGTCGATTTTTTGACTAAAATCATAGGTTAACCCCTTTGGAAAATATGCAAAAATGCGACTATCTGAAGTGCATATTTTTATAGGCTAGAAACGATTGTTTCCTATCTAAAAGATCCCTAAACATTTTTTTCAAGATCATTTTTGCCCAAAAACCGAAAATGAAAAAAACATCAATTTTTTGACCAAAATCATGACAATCGTTTGGTTTCTCTGCTTGATTGGTCATTCCAATCATTTTTGTGAACTTTGATTTTGGACTTTAATGCAGTTCTTACGCGTCAGCTTGTGCAGGACATTTGATCGATCCTTCACTCGACTACGATCAATTCAAGAGAAGAGATCAATAATTTCAAAGGTTTTTCACAGTTGCCTTCCTCTTAAGTTTCATTTCGTTTGATTTGGACAAACATCTTGAGAAGAGTCTTTTTTGGTAAGTTAATTCATTTTTCTATTTTTTAATGAATATTTAGATCTTTGGGCCCGTTTCTAGAAAGTCCCGATTATTAACCGGCCTGCAAAGCTGTTGTTGATTACGTGCAAGATAGAGTTCAGTAACTGAGCATCTAACATGTTGAAACTGTCAGTTAATGAAACAAAATGAAGTAGTTTGCTAGCCAGGACCCACGATGTTATTCTCTATATTTCGATTTGAATATTTGATTTCGGTCCCGAAAAGTTACCTGTACTTTCGAGAAACTGGCCCATGAACATGCTGAGTCGTGGCGATTATGTTAAGATCAACGTACAACCTTTTTGGGATTTTATGAGAGTTTCAAAACAGAGAAATAACACCTAACAAAGGACGGTAAAAGTAAAGGAAATAAGTAAAGATATTGTCTGTGGACAGTCTCGTATTTCTTCACAAATACTGAGGTACACGCCCGACAGAGTGGTCTATCATGTCTTTAAAAAAGTAGTTATCTTCATGCGCCAACAGAGACAAGAACTACAACGACGACGGCAGTGAAAATAGCCTGAATTTCATCCGATTGCTTCGAGTCGTTTTATCCTCTCAGCGACGACGTTACTGAGGGAGTAATAAGGACTCGAGGTAATTGGATGAAATTCAGGCTACAGTGAAAACGACTCGACTCACGCTCCATGCAGGCATCGTGTGCTCTCCTAAAAACGCGAAAAATATAAAAAGTAACCGGGAATTAATAAATTGGCAATAGATAACAAATCAACATTATCCAAAATTCTGCTGATCATACCATCATCACGGTCACATCATGGGACTTTAGATTTACCTTAGCCTGTGCTAACAAGCTCTCTATAATTTTATGGCGACGCAAGCGAGTCGCGAGAGAACACGCGAGTGAGCGGCCCTCGCACTCGCGTTTCCTTTCGCGTGCTGCTCTCGCGTGACTTCTCGCGACTTCCCCAAATGGAGAGCTTGCTTGCAGACTAGACTTACCGTAACTAACTGACTTTGTTTACAGCTGCTTCATAATTGGCTGTGCAAGGTGATACAATCAATAAGTTAATCAATCAATTAGTCTCGTCATTTTCTTTAACGGTCACTTAAGATCACTTTTTAAATAGTATGTTTGAATAGCATACGAAACGTCAGGTTTATAAAAATGCGAAAACTCACAATGTTTATCACCGCTGTTTCAGTGTGTTTTATGTTTGATCAACGGCCCTGTATATATACACTACCAAAAATTTTAGTTGCCTTATGTTTTCTGCAAAGTTGACCTGTATATAGCAATCACCCTGTATTTAACGGTCACTTTGCCATTTCCCTGGGGTGACCGATGTACAAAAGTTTGACTTTATTACATTTTCGTTCTCTTACAGCAAAATGAGGCTTCTGTTGGTGATTTCTTTGATCTCTGCCTGGCTGTTCTTCCTGGTGACTGCTCGCGGCTTTGCAGTTCACTTTGTTCATCGTCAGGAATTGATCGAGGAAATTGACGGCGTGAGAGATGATCCTGCTATGGATTCAGACGCAAAGAGCAGATTCAGGAATCAGAGCTGTAAAATAAGGGGAATGATGTGTTCGTCTTTAATGGAGTGCTGTTCCCTTTGGTGTGATGTCATTACAGAGAAATGTCATTAATATGAAACTTTTATACAAAAACCTGCAAAAATAAACTTGTTCTTACTGATCTTTAAGGCGTAAAAACAGCTTGAGTAATTCAAGAAAAGGAAACTGAGAGAAAATTAACGCAGCTGTAAAGTTATGATTAATAAAGGAGAGGTGGAGTGTTTGTATCTTAATAAAACAAAGGAGTCCACCAAACGTTCAGCAGGATTCTAACTCAAAATTGTTTTCTTTTCTTTTATAAGAATGACAGACTCGTTGAATGACACGGGCTCAAAATGCTTGTTGAACATGTCAAAATGCAAAACGGAGTCCGACTGTTGGTCGAAGTGTCGAGGGTCAAGAGTCGATTTTTTGACTAAAATCATAGGTTAACCCCTTTGGAAAATATGCAAAAATGCGACTATCTGAAGTGCATATTTTTATAGGCTAGAAACGATTGTTTTCTATCTAAAAGATCCCCAAACATTTTTTTCAAGATCATTTTTGCCCAAAAACCGAAGATGAAAAAAACATCAATTTTTTGACCAAAATCATGACAATCGTTTGGTTTCTCTGCTTGATTGGTCATTCCAATCATTTTTGTGAACTTTGATTTTGGACTTTAATGCAGTTCTTACGCGTCAGCTTGTGCAGGACATTTGATCGATCCTTCACTCGACTACGATCAATTCAAGAGAAGAGATCAATAATTTCAAAGGTTTTTCACAGTTGCCTTCCTCTTAAGTTTCATTTCGTTTGACTTGGACAAACATCTTGAGAAGAGTCTTTTTTGGTAAGTTAATTCATTTTTCTATTTTTTAATGAATATTTAGATCTTTGGGCCCGTTTCTAGAAAGTCCCGATTATTAACCGGCCTGCAAAGCTGTTGTTGATTACGTGCAAGATAGAGTTCAGTAACTGAGCATCTAACATGTTGAAACTGTCAGTTAATGAAACAAAATGAAGTAGTTTGCTAGCCAGGACCCACGATGTTATTCTCTATATTTCGATTTGAATATTTGATTTCGGTCCCGAAAAGTTACCTGTACTTTCGAGAAACTGGCCCATGAACATGCTGAGTCGTGGCGATTATGTTAAGATCAACGTACAACCTTTTTGGGATTTTATGAGAGTTTCAAAACAGAGAAATAACACCTAACAAAGGACGGTAAAAGTAAAGGAAATAAGTAAAGATATTGTCTGTGGACAGTCTCGTATTTCTTCACAAATACTGAGGTACACGCCCGACAGAGTGGTCTATCATGTCTTTAAAAAAGTAGTTATCTTCATGCGCCAACAGAGACAAGAACTACAACGACGACGGCAGTGAAAATAGCCTGAATTTCATCCGATTGCTTCGAGTCGTTTTATCCTCTCAGCGACGACGTTACTGAGGGAGTAATAAGGACTCGAGGTAATTGGATGAAATTCAGGCTACAGTGAAAACGACTCGACTCACGCTCCATGCAGGCATCGTGTGCTCTCCTAAAAACGCGAAAAATATAAAAAGTAACCGGGAATTAATAAATTGGCAATATATAACAAATCAACATTATCCAAAATTCTGCTGATCATACCATCATCACGGTCACATCTTGGGACTTAAGATTTACCTTAGCCTGTGCTTACAAGTTCTCTATAATTTTATGGCGAGGCATGTGAGCCGCGAGAGAACACGCGAGTGAGCGCCCCTCGCACCCGCGTTTCCTTTCGCGTGCTGCTCTCGCGTGACTTCTCGCGACTTCCCCAAATGGAGAGCTTGCTTGCAGACTAGACTTACCGTAACTAACCGCTTTTGTTTACAGCTGCTTCATAATTGGCTGTGCAAGGTGGTACATTCAATAAGTTAATCAATCAATTAGTCTCGTCATTTTCTTTAACGGTCACTTAAGATCACTTTTGAAATAGTATGTTGAATAGCATACGAAACGTCAGGTTTATAAAAATGCGAAAACTCACAATGTTTATCACCGCTGATTGTGTTTTATTTTTGATCAACGGCCCTGTATATATACACTACCAAAAATTTTAGTTGCCTTATGTTTTCTGCAAAGTTGGCCTGTATATAGCAATCACCCTGTATTTAACGGTCACTTCGCCATTTCTCTGGGGTGACCGTTGTACAAAGGTTTGACTGTATTACATTTTCGTTCTCTTACAGCAAAATGAGGCTTCTGTTGTTGATTTCTTTGATCTCTGCCTGGCTGTTCTTCCTGGTGACTGCTCGCGGCTTTGCAGTTCACTTTGTTCATCGTCAGGAACTGATTGAGGAAATTGACGGCGTGAGAGATGATCCTGCTATGGATTCAGACGCAAAGAGCAGATTCGGGAACCAGAGCTGTAGTAAAAAGGGAGAGAGTTGTACGTCAATGTTCCAGTGCTGTTCCCTTTGGTGTAATCCCTTGAGATATAAATGCACTTAATATAAAAACCTGTAAAAATAAACTTGTTCTTACTGATCTTTAAGGCGTACAAACAGTTTGAGTAAGTCAAGAACAGGAAACTAAGAGAAAATTATCGCAGCTGTAAACTAATGATTAATAAAGGAGAGGTGGAGTGTTTGTATCTTAATAAAACAAAGGAGTCCACCAAACGTTCAGCAGGATTCTAACTCAAAATTGTTTTCTTTTGTTTTATATGAATGACAGACTGATTGACACGGGCTCAAAATGCTTGTTGAACATATCAAAATGCAAAACAGAGTCCGACTGTTGGTAGAAGTGTCGAGGGTCGAGAGTCGATTTTTTGACTAAAATTATGGTTTAACCCCTTTGGAAAATATGCAAAAATGCGACTGTCTGAAGCGCATATTTTTGATTCTTTTCTATCTAAAAGATCCCCGAACATTTTTTCAAGATCATTTTTGCCCCAAAACAGAAAATGAAAAAAATTCAATTTTTTTACCAAAATCATGGCAATCGTTTGGTTTCTCTGCTTGATTGGTCATTCCAATCATTTTTGTGAACTTTGATTTTGGACTTTAATATAGTTCTTACGCGTCAGCTCGTGCAGGACATTTGATGACTTTGATCAATCCTTCACTCGAGTAAGATAAATTCAAGAAAAGAGAACAATTCAAAGTTGCTTCAGTTGCCTTTCTCTCAAGTTTCATTTCGTTTGACTTGGACAAACATCTTGAGAAGAGTCTTTTTTGGTAAGTTAATTCATTTTTCTGTTTTTTAATGATTATTTAGATCTGTGGGCCCGTTTCTAAGAAAGTCCCGATTATTAACCGGCCTGCAAAGCTGTTGTTGATTACGTGCAAGGTAGAGTTCAATAGCTGGGCATCTAACATGTTGAAACTGTCAGTTAATGAAACAAAATGAAGTAGTTTGCTAGCCAGGACCCACGATGTTATTCTTTATATTTCGATTTGAATATTTGATTTCGGTCCCGAAAAGTTACCTGTACTTTCGAGAAACTGGCCCATGAACATGCTGAGTCGTGGCGATTATGTTAAGATCAACGTACAACCTTTTTGGGATTTTATGAGAGTTTCAAAACAGAGAAATAACACCTAACAAAGGACGGTTAAAGTAAAGGAAATAAGTAAAGATATTGTCTGTGGACAGTCTCGTATTTCTTCACAAATACTGAGGTACACGCCCGACAGAGTGGTCTATCATGTCTTTAAAAAAGTAGTTATCTTCATGCGCCAACAGAGACAAGAACTACAACGACGACGGCAGTGAAAATAGCCTTAATTTCATCTGATTTCTTCGAGTCATTTTCTCCTCCCAGCGACAACGTTACTGAGGGAGTAATAACGACTCGAGATGATCGGATGAAATTCAGGCTACAGTGAAAACGTCTCAACTCACGCTCCATGCAGGCATCGTGTGCTCTCCTTAGAACGCGAAAAATATAAAAAGTAACCGGGAATTAATAAATTGGCAATAGATAACAAATCAACATTATCCAAAATTCTGCTGATCATACCATCATCACGGTCACATCATGGGATTTTAGATTTACGTTAGCGGCCTGCGCTAACAAGCTCTCTATAATTTTATGGCGAGGCAAGTGAGTCGCGAGAGAACACGCGAGTGAGCGCCCCTCGCACTCGCGTCTCTTTTCGAGTGCTGCCCTCGCGTTACTTCTCGCGACTCCCCCAAATGGAGAGCGTGCTCGTAGACTAGACTTACCGTAACTAACCGACTTTGTTTACAGCTGCTTCATAATTGGCTGTGCAAGGTGGTACAATAAATTAGTTAATCAATCAATTAGTTGCCTGCGTGCAGACGTCTCCTATTTCCTTTGTTGCTCGTGGAAAAGGGACGTCCCTTTTCCGCGTGCAACTAAGGAAATAGGAGACGTCTGCACGAAGGCAATCAATTAGTCCCGTCATTTTCTTTAACGGTCACTTAAGATCACTTTTGAAAATGTATGTTGAAAATAGCATACGAAACGTCAGGTTTATAAAAATGCGAAAACTCACAATCTTTATCACCGCTGTTTTGGTCAACGGTCCTGTATATATACACTACAAAAAAATTTAGTTGCCTTATGTTTTCTGCAAAGTTGACCTGTATGTAGCAATCACCCTGTATTTAACGGTCACTTTGCCATTTCCCTAGGATGGCCGTTGTACAACCTCGTCCCCAGGGCCTTTCGCTCAGAAAATGGAAAAGCCCTGGAGACGAGGGTGACCGTTGTACAAAGGTTTGACTGTGTTACATTTTCGTTCTCTTACAGAAAAATGAGGCTTCTGTGGGTGATTTCTTTGATCTCTGCCTGGCTGTTCTTCCTAGTGACTGCTCGCGGCTTTGCAGTTCACTTTGTTCATCGTCAGGAATTGATCGAGGAAATTGACGGCGTGAGAGATGATCCTGCTATGGATTCAAACGCAAAGAGCAGATTCATGA